TGACCTTCAGGACACGGTGGTGATGACACAGACTACAACGTGTTATTTGTCATCTGTAAGGCTAATGCAGAAGGTGAGACAATATAGGAGAAAGTTTTTTTTTAAAATTGCACAGGAATGTAAAGTTTATGAAATGACTAATAAAAACATGACAAACGCCAGGGTTATTATTTTATAGTTATTTTATCACACTACAGGAAGTGAAATGTCTGACCAACAGAAAGCCAATGCATTCGTATTGAGATTACAGAGCAAACATGTGTATTGCCTCCTCCTTCACAACTGTTGCATCACTTGCTGCTCCACATAAAGGCACAGAGGGAGCTTGGGTTTCATACTTTCTCTTTTTATTAGAAGAAAAACCAACAATTTGTTCTACACAGCAGCCGTTGCACCACTTTTCATTTTAACTACCCATTTTCTGAGAAGTTTATTGACTAAACAAATCACCCAGTGGTTACATTAGCTTGTTCATAATGTTGTTTGATCTGACTTGGATAATTAATAAATGTACAAGACTAAGCAGCTAACGTTTAACTCAGTGGTCAGTTAAAGAAATCCAGGTTTTTCCTGCTACATTAATTAATTGCAATTTTTCTTTTCTTTTCTACTAGAATCAGTTGATTTTCTGTTTGCTTGTGGATAAAAATTCATATTTCAGTATAACATTAATATTATGAGTTACACTGCATGTCAATTACTACAGGTATGTAAACTTACTGTAGTATAAATAGCAGAAAATGTGACTTAACCACTGATCCACATACACTGGCAAATTTGTCTTTCTTTTTTTTTTTGCAAAAATATTATATTACTGTTACTTTGCAAATTGATAATATTGCATGAGAAACGAAAATGTATACATTATCTAATCTAGTGGTTCCCATTGGTCAGCATGAGGAGCACGGGTCTTTGCAAGCAGGTGGGAGGGCTTTTTTTTTTTTTTTTTCTATTTCTGCTTGGAAAAAAAGTTTGAACACCCCTGGTGTAGGATATGTGTACTACCATAGACAATAGTAATAAACCTGAGCCCAGAAAATACATTACTTCCTGTTTCTATATATAAAATGATGAGAATGTTTTTTCTTGTTATTGTTGTAATTGTTAAGTTTTTAAAACCCCACCACAGGTAGCATTCTTTTACTAACAGTACTGGAAAAGTGAGTGTCACCATGTGGCAGAAACCCTAACTGCAGGATCCCTACAGAGGTCAGCCCTGTCTCATTCAATAATCAGCATCCTAACCAGGACCTTCCTCCTCCTCCTCCTCTGCTGTCTCCCTATGTCTGAAGGTGCAGTGGGAAAGTCGCTTTGAACGCACTTCATCGATTTAGTTCCATCCTGTCATCGCAGAGGGACAAAGAAATACAACCTACCTCGTTGAGCAGGAAGACGCTGGAATTGGTCAGTGACATCCGCAGCTGACGGGAGCTCCGGTCAAATCAGCCTAACTTTGGAGGGACAGGAACGCTCGGTTCTCAGAGGGGGGGCTGCCGCCTTCCTCCAGGCATCTCCCCGGAACAGTCTCTTTCTCTGCTGCTGCCGCTGCTGCTCGGTGTGTGTGAGAGTGTGTGAGTGTGTGTGTGAGGCTGAAGACGCGGAGCTCCGGATGATCCTGACTGCGCTGTGAAATCAGCTTCTTCTGGACTCACGGCATGATCAATGAGTGGACACAAAGCCACGCACACACGGACCCACAGATGGATGGATTTCAGCTCTCTCTGATAAATTATGCAAGAGCTGCACTTTTTACACAGCCCACTCCCACTGGGCTGAAATTTAAAGTCAAATTTAAACAAATCTAAACTCAAAACAGCTCTCAATAAGCCTCTTAATTGTCTCTTTAAACTGTCATTTTCTGTGTTTTTGTTTCAATTGAATTGGGTGTTTATTAAAAACCCACCGTGACACTGATGACCCTAAGTGGGGGTCGGGGATAGCCACCTGGGTGTGGGTGGAAGACTCAGAATCCTCCAAAAGGAAAAACTATTAACACAGGGTAGTAAGTATGAGTAGGTAACAGACGTCTAGATGGGTAAATGTGTGGAAATAAAACAAATATTTTACTTATAACTGTATATGCTTCTCATTTCTGAAGCTGATAAGGCTACAATTAACTAATTAGCAAACAGCTAAACGGAGCATTAGCAAGCTATGCTAAGTTCTGCGTTTGAGCCAGGCTTACATTTGAGTGAAATAAAATTGTTCATAGACATTTACAAAGTGATGAACTGATGAGAAGGTCCAACAGATTTTATTCACAGAGCAGTCTTTGGTAATATATTACTAATAAGACTGCAATTCCATAATGCTATTCTTGCTAATACGGCAATTCCATAATGCTATTCTTGCTAATTACAAATAAAATTTGTAAGTCCCATGTCTGGCACTTTCTTAAAGTTCACATATGGCAGGTTGTGATATCACCTGCACCATGTTCCATTTGACTCAGAGGTTGGCAAGTGATCACAGAAATCTGAGTCACTGCAACATTACGCCTTTTAAAGGGCACTGCATGGTTCCGGAAAAAGCTCATCAAATTTAACATAGTTGGACGCTCTTTGCAAAATTGACATTTACACTTATTAAGGATGGCATCTATTCTGTCAGAGACTCTTTGTTGTTAATGTCAAAGAAAATTTCATTTGGTCATTTTTATTACCTTTGTTCTTTGGAAATAATGAAGAATGCCTACGATAAAAGGTAAAATAATTAAATAACTTTTAAGTTTAAGTTTGATAAAGACTTAAAATGGTCATTTGTTCAAGAGTTTTTGTCTGTGTTTTATAACTTTATTTTTTTATGTGCTCATTTGCTGTGGCAGAACCGACAACAACAGAGACATGAATGGGCATCTCATGAAACTGAAAATGACCAAATGTGAATTTTGAGGTGCCTTTTAAATGCTGTCCTGTCCAGGCGCAGCAGACAGGATGTAGATCCTTCTCGCTTTTCACTGATCCAAGCACTTCTGTTCTAATCACATCCTGTAAATGTCTCCCCCTTGCATGGACCAATCGACCGCTGCAGTCAGGTCACTCAATGCTAACAGGACAAAGGCAAAGTCACTTACCTATGCACGTGCAGAGCAGTCAGAAATATGAGAAACATTTGAGGTGAAATGCTCTTCAAAAGGAAAGTGTTTCAGAAGTTGACCTACAGTAATGGGGGCTTTCAACCCCGCTGCTAAAATTTGATTAGCAAGAATTAGGAGAAACATAGTATGTTTTATGTGTGGCATGGTATGTGTTGTAGGACTGTTGTAGAAAGTTTAAAAATATATATCTCGGTATAGATAAACTATCCACATTTAACACAAATCAAGCAAAAAAATTGTTAGGAATTAGCCAAAAATAATAAGATAATAAAAAATATAAAAGCCTCAAAAGATAAAGACAAGTCTAATAGTTAAAAAAGTAAAGTCTGCAAGTCTCTGAGGTACTTGTTATGGCGTATGGCGTAAACAACAACATGAATCTCTACCCCGGGCCAATCATTATATGACCAAATTGGTTTTACTGCTCTGTTCTCCTTAATGCTGACAACTGATGACGCCCTCTGCTGGATTATAGTTTGTTTTGTTTTTTTCCTTCAGTGAAGTAATTGTTTGGCATTACATTTTAGGCTTTATGAAATGTTCACACCGCATCTCTATCTTTACATAGACTAACATTATTTACTAACTTGAACTGTACGTACATTTAAAAAAAATCTAGTTAATTTCAGCTTTTGTTAGTGAAGAGAGACACAATGGTAATACTGTACACTGTACTCCTATTTTATAAAATAGAAATTAAATATTAAATAATTATTACATCATAGACACATTTGATTGTTCTACTAATGTTCTCTGCGTCGCAGTGTTGAGAGTACCTGACAGGATGTAGGTGTATAGTTTATTCAACAGTAGAAAAGTCAACAGACGCTGTGTTCTTGGTCAACAGAAGTGTTTACCCGATAAAGTGATATACTGTTCTGTTTACTGTGCAACTCACTACAATGAGTGACAACTTACAGACTATAGACATATAATACGCTATAATAATGATCTCCACTAGGTGGTGGTAGACGTCTGATTCATTTTGCCGTTGTAACATTTCCTTCACTGAAATAATCGTAGCTTTTTAATTATTAAAAGGTGTTGAATAGTCACGTGTGATCTATATATCAGGAGGATTTTGTAAAACAAACTTAAAGGGATTTACCAACACTGTTGGTTATTGTTTAGTTATGGATTTTCGAGTTAATGCTTTCTTGTAAATGTTGGCTAACATTAGCTACTTCTGGATTAACCTTCTGCTATACTTGACCATGTTTGCAATATTGTTGATATTTTTCAGCTATAGTTTTGATTTTTTTTTAATGTTTAGTCTTTAGCTGAAATTGTGATAACGTTGATACAGTTTAGCTATTTATCAGCCAGTTTTAGATAACGTAGGCTATATTTTGGGCTAACCTAAAAAATTGCATACATTACTAACCTACTAACTAAGTTTTTTTTAACATAGCAACTTTTAGGCGTCTTTGAGTAATATTTTGTTTAACCTTAACTTACCTGTTTTGCATAGAAAAGTATATTTAAATTGACTGATAACTCTTTCGCAAAGTTTAGCACTTTGTGTTTAGCATTGTTGTCCGACCTAACCCTGTTCAACACCCAAACCTTTTTATATACTTATTGTGAAACTTTAAAAATGTAACTCGTGGGACCTTTTAATTCTGTGGCTTCTGTCCCAACCTTCTTAGAAGTGTTGGAGGCGTTGCCGAATACATTTGTTTTGAGTGAAAACATTACAAATATGCAGGAAAACTAACGAAGTACAGATTTTTCTCTTTATTCTATTTTCGAGAAAACACACACACACGCGCAGGCAGGCAGTGCAGAGGCACTCAGACCACCTCTAGGGGGACTCCTGAGTCCAGAATGGGAATGCAGCTTCAGAAGTGTGTGCGTGTGTATATGCGTATGTTTGTGTGTCTGTGTGTGTGTGAGAGAGAGAGCAAGAGAGAGAGGGAGAGAGAGAGTCATGCACTGTATCTCTGACAGAGAGAGGACAAGACTGTCCGGCCAATTTCGCTGTGTTTTCCTCGCCCGCCTTCCTCTCTGACCCAAACCGCTGCATCAACACACACGGACCCCGCATGTGAAGCGTGTGACGGCGACTACGTGAAAGCCTGGGAACAGGAGAGGGGAGGGGGGGAGTGCTGGAGCTCCACTGCAGTGTTACACTTACTCCAGTCCACAGAAGAACATCCAATGGTGAGTACTCTGCGCTTTCCCGCGGCTGTGCTGGTCAGACCGCTGTGCACGGCGCTGCAGCTGGTTTCCACTCAAATGCAGCCCATTGTTTTTTGGGGTGAACATAATTCCAGCAGCTGACTCGTAGGCTCCGGTGTCGCGCTGTGCTGATGGTTTTGCGGCGGTGTGTGTTGTGTGAGAGGAGTCTTTAACTGTCCTGTAGGACTGTCAGGACACTGAGCGATGCTCCCTCGCCAAATTCATTTAGACTTTTGTCATCCACTGTTGTGTAAACATGACACGGAGCAGCAACAGTGAGCAGCCCCACACTTTGCTTCCAGGGCCACGGCATTGTTACTACCACGTAGTGCGTCTGCTCGTCCACTGACATGTTTAGGGTCTAAACATAATGACGTAGACGTTCATATGGAGGCAGACAGGCCCGGAGTGTGTGTGTGTGTGTGTGTGGAGTGTCTCTCTGTGTGTCACCGTCGTCTGTTCATCTCTAACACACACCTGACAAGGAGCTAAAGTCACCTTAAAGGAATGTTTTACTCCTGGTGAGTTGGTAAAGGAGACGAGCACTGTTTGCTGTATGTGTGTATACTCTGTGTTTGTTTGTCTTTAGAGGACCACTTCTGGCATTGTTGTGTTTTTGGACAAGTCGTGATAACGAGGACAAGAAGCAGGACACTTAAATTCGAAGTTATTAGTTATAGTTATTTTACGGGTGTGATTTGTGGTTAGGTCGTGTTAAATGTTGTGAATTAACTTAACTGTGGTTGGGGTCAAGGGAAGGGTTCTGGTTAGTGTGTACAAATGAATGGGAGTGAACACAGGGACTAGAGAAGAATGTGTGTTTGTCAGACTTTCGCCTGTCTCTCTGTTGACTGTGGTTACGCAGGCTTTATTTATGTTATGTAATAGGCATTAGCCTAATGAATGTATCCCAGCTGGTTAACCTTAATGTGTAACTGCAGTGACTGATTATTATGGTTTTATATAGAATCCAAGCACAGACAACAAAAAGCAAACGACAGTCACCGACGAGCCTAACAGGCAACTAGCCAATCAAAGGCCATCAGTACAGTATGAACTCAGTTGCTGCACATGCACAGAAACAATGAGAATTTGTTGAACATTTAAATAATTGAAACGTTTCTGATTCTGGTTTGAGTTTACATAGTTGTTGAGTTCTGCTTAAATGTATCTGAAATAAATAAGTAACTTCAGAAGTAGATTCCACAAGACATTTATTAATTAGATTGTATATGACGATGTCTTTAATTTCTTGTACTTAAAATTTTTCATTTTCAAGGAGCAAAAAAGAATAGGACATATTACTTTTAAAATGAAATAAAATGCACAACTTTAATAACAATTACTACTTACCAATTTGGTTACTGTTTTTACTGTGCATCACTTATTTCACATTAAAAAATTGAAATAAAAAATATGTGGAATCAAAGCTAATAGATACTTGAAAATCTTAAACAGATCCTTAAAATTGTTTGATTTAATTTCAATAAAATTCCCCCCATTTTTTAGATTCCTTTGGTTCTAACTAAACATTAAACAGGATCTCTTGGGGTTTTTTTTCACTATAAAATTATATTATATTTTTAAATGTCATCACCAGTGACCTTCCAATACAAAAAAAAAACCAAGGTCAGGAATGCTTCAATGCTATTAAGTTATTAGATATAAAAAGAAAAAAGAAAAAAAAACCTAATTTGAGAGCCATCTACTCAGTCGTAGCTTAAAACAGAACATCTGCATCTGTTTGCACATGAGAACATGGCTATTGCACCAGAAGTAAAACGTTTGAATGAATGTCATAATTACAATTTCAGTGTCAGTTGGACTGAAACATTACCCGAAATCTTTCTGCTGCAGTTGTTCCTAAATGTACTGTATTTTATTAATTCTGTGGGAGATGGATGCATGTACAGATTGTATTACATAATAGCCTGACCTCTGTAAATGTATCGGAGGTAAATGAATGACTCAGGTTATTCCTACAGGAAGTAGGAAGCTCAAGGTGAAGTGGACACATGCCGTTGGCTGTGACTTAACAGATTATGGGCTTGAACTGAATCAGCATCTGGTGTTGTCATTTAATTCAAATGTAGCTTCTCACACAATATGTCCAACCTGTTATGCGTTTGATGAAGTTTTTTTTCTTCAGTCAGGCAGTTTGTCGAACAACTCCTATCAATGTGGCTTATTATAAACATATGCAGTTGATGTGCACAGTGTTTGTCTCGGTTGACTGTGGCTGGCAGAGATTTGTTTATTAAGTTTAGAGGTTAGCAGTGTCCTTGACATGTGCTGCCAGAAGCCAGCTATGAGTCATCAAAGCTAATGGGGGAAGCATGGACAATTTAATCTGGACTGGAGAGCTCTTGATCTCTGATGGTGCCCACTCAGAAGGCCTTTGTTGTCAAATTGAGCACACCCACCCCTGCCCACTCAAGATGTTAGGTGCAGATTGCAGTGATGGAGCATTGCACAGCACCAGCAGGATTTATTTATCTGCACTGAAATGATAAATGTCTGAAAGTCTAACAATCTGTGAAGAGTTTGGTGAAACGTGCCAACGTTCAAACAAAATTGTCCATTTCCCACAGCACCATAAGGAAATGATTGGTGAGGATTTCTTTTAATCCGTTGTTTCCCAAACTTAACAGCAAACAACTTCCATAGAAATGCTGTCAGCGAAGGGTGGAGACAGACTTTTATGATGTGTACTTATTAGCAAACAAAACATGATTCATTTGATGAAGCCCATTTCCAGAATGATAATGAAACACTTTAGGCATGCAGTAAAAACTACGTGTGTACTGTAATTATTTAAACAAAAGCTAGTTTACTAGACGAACGCACAACTGATGATTTTAATACATTTGCATTGAGTGCGGCAAGTTCGCGTACGACAAGGAAAGACTAAAAGGTCAAACCATGAACATTCTTAGAGTTTTTTGTAACTGGTTAACTGGTTAAAATTTCAAAATTTAGAGGGATATTTTTCAAAGTTATATTTTGCGAGCATTCATGGCTCATTGCGTTGTGCTAAACATCATAAAAAGGTATAAAAAGTTTCAAACAATGACCTTGCTCCCATGATGGACACAGTCTGGAGTAATTGATTACATGAAATTCTAAAATATTATCGAATTGAGATTTTATACATGTTCTACGTGGCCTGAGGCATTGTTAGTTCAACAACATTGTGTTTGCTGTTTGTGTTTTCCAGGAATACAAGTGGGCTTTGGAGGCACTAGGTGGTGTATGGGGCTGAAACACTGATTGGTTCTATAAACCACTTAGCCAAACACAGAGTCAACTCAGATGCCCCTGGCCAGCTTGAGCTGATGCTGTTTGCCCGCTGTGAAAAACCAGGGGCCTGGCCAAAGAAAGCAGTGTTGCCACAAACAATAAAGTCCACACAGGTGAGCAGTCTTGCTGGTGGCCGGCTCTCCATATTTCACTGATTCTATGTTTTAACATATTTTTTTATCTGTTTGAATAATCGTGTGTGAAGGATGTCGTGGGCCAGGAGCCTCTTTGTGGACAGAGTGGACGATCGAAAAACAGCATGGGGAGAGCGGAATGGCAAGAAGAGGAAGGAAAGCTCATCGCTGTGCAATCCACGATACATGAGTTGCCTAAGAGACCCTGAGGACCTGGACTCCCCCAGTGCAGGTCCTCAACATTACCATTGCAGCGCAGGCACCAGTGGGGGCAACTTTGGTCTGCGCTGCGGCTGGCAAGAGGACCACTATGGTAAAAGGATGGGTGGAGGTGGGGACCTGGGTCTCAAGGCCGTGGACCTCGGTTTTGAAGACGGCGAGCTGAAAGGCAGAAAAGTGGAGGAGTCGGGGGAATCGGCAGAAAGCAATTGCAATACCATGACGGCCGCAGACTGCTGGAGGAGAGTCATGTGGGTTTTCCAGTCAAAGAAGTTCCAGTCAGCCAAGCTGGAGCGCCTCTACCAGCGCTACTTTTTTAGACTCAACCAGAGCTCTCTGACCATGCTGATGGGCGTGCTGGTTGTGGTCTGTGGGGTCATGCTGGTTTTCCACTGCATCCACACGACCCCGGATGTGGCCTACGTCTCAGTACTGTGTGTAGCCATGGCCCTTTTCCTGGCCATGATGGTGGTGTGCAATCGTAACGGTTTTCATCAGGACTACATGTGGATTGTGAGCTACCTGGTGATCGGGGTGCTGATCGTTGTGCAGGTGTTGGGAGTGCTGATGGTGTTCCCCCGCAGTGCCTCGGAGGGCATCTGGTGGACAGTCTTCTTCATCTACATTATCTACACACTGCTGCCGGTCAGAATGAGAGCAGCCGTCCTCAGTGGGGCTGTGCTATCCACGATACACATCGTCACCGCCTGGCAGCTCAACCAGGAAGACAAGTTCATTTTGAAACAGGTGAGTACACGGTACAAGAATGAATACCTTTCATAAAAGGGACAGAGTCTGTGACCAAGTGTCTGTTAAAGTTGTGCCAAGTGCTTTCAAAAAGTTTTCAAGTTTTTGGTTGCGATTGTGACAAAAATTTAATCAACTGGTACAATAACAACTTTTCGTCGACAGTCAAAGGACGTAGCTTTACATGTGGGTGTAACAGTGAAGACATCGCCTTTAACTCTGACAAATGAAGTCGATTTTAAGCAAATATTACCACAGGAATTTTCTGGGAAGTTCTAATAACAGCACTTTTTATAATCTGCTTCATCACACTGATGCAGAAAATCCAATATTTCCACAAAGCATTCCTGTTCACCGATGTGCAACACTGCCCTCAATGGCCAAACGTATCAAAGGAATGAAAGTGGCGCCCCTGTAATTCACTTGTTGATAACCTTTTAAAGGGCATGGTGGAACGCTTTAAGGCTTTTTGTTAGTAGAAATATACACATAAATATATTAACAGTAAAACAAACCTTTAAAATATCAGCCCTTTCTAAAATGTTCTTGTTTAACCAATGAAATAAGGTCAAGGATTTCTTTAACCACTAACCAAATAGTTTTTTTTATTTTTAATGTTTTACTTCAACAAGTTTTTGGGGACATTGATAAGTGTATTGGTAGGATTGGAGGGAAAAGCCTAAAGTGATTTTTCATTTTAACAAAGTACTAACAAAGTAAAGTGATTTTTCATTTTAACAAAGTACTGCCATTTAAATAATATTTAGCGGAGGTTTTACTGATGTTAATTTAATACATTTACAATAAATTTATTTATTTAAAAGTCATATCGTATCATTTTTATAACAGCTCATTTTATATCTTTAGAACAGGCTGGTTGTGGGACCTGTCAGTTTTATTACTACTACTTTTTATTACTGATACAGTATGTTTTACATATTTGTTTTGGTGTTTTCTAGTCCTAAGTTGAGTAAGTGCAGACTTTATGGGGTCTGGTAGTTGCAGTTCACTTTATTATCAAATATATATAGACAATAAGTCATTGTTTGGTTACAGCCATGCTACCATGGTCACTGTGTCCATACAGAGTGGCATAACAAACCTTGTGTTGAAGCTACGCTCAGTATGGCAATACAAATATTTTTAAAAGCGTCAACCTTTCTTCACCGCAAACTACAAAAACGAAAGCAGTTGCAGACTAAAGAATAAAGCGGTTCAAAAATCCCAGACTGCCGTTAGCCGGAGCCTGCTATTATCACCGTACAATTGAGCACAATGTTGTTACTGTATTCAGCAGTGAAAACGCCCTACTTTCTATCCCCATTAAAATAGGGCAAACATTGTACAGACTCCTTCCTCACTCTTCCATGTCAAAGGTGTTGTACTAAAAGTAGACAGTGCCGTTGATCTCAGCTCAGCCGTTCAAACGAGGTTTTTAATGAGCCTATGTTTTGTGCTGTAGGGCAGCTATTGGCAACTCTTGTGGGGTTTGTAGAAGGTCATCTGGGTTGAATGAGCCCATTTAGCTACATTGTGGAGGAATATCATCCTAATGTCGCATGGTGCCATTCATGCCACTGTTCTCTAAAACAAGGAGGCTATTGTAAAATGAAGCAGGGTGGGGTCCCATACTCAGATTGTGCAATGAATTTTATGGAAAACAGGATGATTTCTTTTTTGCACTGTGAAAAAGATCTGGTTTACGTTGTACAACACTGGTAATGATATTTTAAACACATTCAGAGGCGAATAAATGCCCGTCCAGACTGAGAGACTGAGAAATAAATCAACGTTAAAGCAGAAAAACACTGGTGACAGGAAGGCTGTCCATAATGAGAATTTCACAAATGTGGATTATCATCTGCAGAAACTCCTTCAGCCAAAATTATTTCTTGTTTTTTTTCTACCCTGTAAAAGTACAGAGCAGAGAAACACAGAGGAGAATCTGACCTGAGGAGGAGCTGGTATCTGAGAACATTTTGACATTTCATAGCAACAGCAGCACACTCCTGACTTTTTTTCAGTTGAGCTACTTCAGTTTCAGGGTCGTTGCATTGTGTTTGCAGCCTCATAATGACATTGATGTGATTAAGTATCCCATTTATATAGAACACAGATAATATTACAAGCAACCTCTGCGATTTTTACACATACGACACTTGTATAACCCCACAACGAATATATAGAACAGTACGACACTTGTATAACCCCACAACGAACATAACATATACATATAGAACATAATGCATTTATTTTTTTATATGTATGGAATTAACAATTACCGATTTTCTTTTACCGTTTTCTTCCATTCTAGTTGGTGCGTCATCGAGAAATTGCTGTCAAATATTAAATAAATACCTCAACGTTTTCATAGAACATTACAGAGACCTGGGTTTTTTTGACAAACCTATTTTTGATCAGTGATTAGGCAGCGAATACAGACTCAGGAAGCAAACTCATAAGGCCTGGGAACGTCTCTGCAGAAACATGTTATTGCTTTTCTTTTGCAAACAGTGCTGAGGAGCCAGTCAGGTGTAATCAATATTATCATCACTGTACTTATCCAGTAATGCCCGTGTCCCACAGTAGACAGGTGACTTAAGCCACACTGAACTGTAGTCCCTTCACCACAGACCTGCTCAGTGACACTGCACCCTGTATAGCATTGTTGCCCAAAGACTGGGTCGCGACCCTCAGGTGGGTCGCAAGAGGTTTTTTTTTTGGGTTGTCCAGGAGTTTACGAATAATGTGTATTGACTTGGGACACGAAGGTTTGTGACTTTTTGACTATCCCAAAATCTCATTTTCCAACAATGATTTTTTCATTAAACTCTTGGTCCTAATTAGCACTTTGACACAGACAGGCAACGACAGGGATCCCATTTACGCTTTTTAATCCCTGGAAAGCAGGTGTCATCAGCGGGGGTGTCACTTCATGTACAGTCATCTTGGCCTCCCTACTAATTTGGTGAAAAGTTGATGTGTCTGCTCATGATGTGTTGGTTCTTTGGGGAAAAACATTTTTCTTTTTAATTATTTTTGTTTTGTTTTCAGGAGTCAATTAGTGTTTGGTGTCAGTGTGACAGTTGGTTAAAATAATTGGTTGTAGAGTCGAGTCAAACTCTCATCTTTAGTCCTTCGCACCCACTGTGATCGTAATCCCCTTCACTAGTGTCACATGACTTGACTTGAGGTTTCTCCTTTTTTGGACTTCCTCAGTGTCCAGCTTCCTCTGTGTCCCACAGTTGTTTTCCTGAGTTTAAGTTTTCCATTACAGAGGTGTTCATGCAGAAGTGGAGCAGAGATGATGAGAATGATGAGGGTGAGGAAAAAGGGCCCTTTGTAAGAGGCAAAAAAAGGGGAGGGTACGGTGGTGACATAAGGACGACAATCTGGATGGAGAGTGTGAAGTAAGGCTGGGCTCCAGCAGCCTGCTGCAGAGGAGCTGCCAATATCCACGCTCTCTTTCTTTTTCTTTCATTTTCTTTTCTCTCTGGGTCATGATTTGACTTTGTCAGAATCTCTCAGATGGCGTGGCCTTTTATTTCACACAGGTCTGTGGTTGAACTCACAGGGATTGTTTCCTTAGATCTCCATCTTTGGCGCTGTGCTTTGAGGGGTTTTCTTAGACAACTGCGAAAGACGATGAAGGTGTAACTGTTTACTGGAAGTGACACGGTTTCTGTTGACTTAAAATGTCTCTTTGATTCTGCACAGTCGAGGCTCATCTGGATCACTTTCATCCTCACAGGTGGCACCTGCAGGAGACTTAAGAAAGATTTTATAAAATAAAAAATCTAATTCAAGTGTTGTTTTAGCCAGTGGGAACATTTCAACTCGTAAATTGTTTTTTTTTAACCATACTTTTTCCTACTTATCATTTTTTCTGTTGAACATAAAATGGCACTGAGTGTAAATACAAGAGTTCATAGTTGTTATAAAGTGTCAGGTTGACCTTCTGATGACCTGTCTAGTTTGTTCCTCTGCCTCTGACCCAATCTCAACTCCATTTGCACCAAACTCCCAGCAAACCCTTCTCTCATCAAACAGCACCGCACCTCCTTTCCCGCTTTTACTCTTCTCACATTCACTCAATACATTTAAATGGAAACATGTTGTTTTGTTGTATTTTTAATGTTATAGTGCCTTGTTAATTCTAATTAATTTCACCTTTTAAGAAATGAACTCCAAACCCAAAGCACATGTTTTCTGGGGTTTGAAGCAGCTCGTTATGTAATGTCCTCATTTTTGCTGTGAGCAGTTCAAAGAACTTCAAGTTTCATCAGCGGAGGGTTCAAGGCTTTGGTCCTAGAAACACCAGGATGAATTAATGATTACTTTGTTGTCAGTTTTGCTCGCAGTGATTGAAAATGTCTGTGGCAGGTTATGTAATAGTTCAAGCTCTTTTATAGTCAAGTTCTGACACGGAAAATCCTCTGGACTGGATCAATCCGCCAAATTGTTTTTGATAATGTTGTTGTTTCTCTTTATGCTCATAGTTTTACTTAATGTCAGTTCAGAAGCTTCTAGACTCACCACAAATAGCCAGCAAGTATTCCTACGTGTACTTGTACAAATACTTCTCAGACAAATAATTTTGTTCCATGAACAAAACTGCTTGACATCATGTTTTACTTAAACTTCGACTTGTGCCTTGTGTAGTAGACTGGTAGTATTGTAGTGTAGTAGTACTAGTTGTGTAGTAGAATCTTTTTGTGCTTGTTACATTGTAAAATTTTAGAGCTAAAGTTTTTATGCTCTAAATGACTTATTTCTTACTCAGAATCTGTGGTAGTCAATTCAAACATTTTAAGCTCCCACGGACCACACAAAATGACCGGCTGGGCCACATTCGGCCTGTGGGCCTTGAGTTTGACACGTGATCTACACTTGAAGGCTTGAAGTCAGATACTATCACAAGCCAGACACACACACATGCACTCCATGCAAGTTCCGCAGCACACTCATTAGGGATGTCTCGGTCAGAGACCACCTGTCCC